AAGTTTGAGTTTCGAAGAAACAACTATTAACAGGGGCCCTCCAATTCATACATATGTCTAAACATACTAGGGTTGCAAAAACACCGGACACCGCAAACCTTATTCTCAACCCCCCTCCTTATTCACAGGGTTTATGCAATTTGCCAACGCAGAACAACAACAAAAAGCAAAACAATCAACCACAACAAGCAAACAAACAAAACAACCACAACACAACACAAACAACAAACAAAACATGACAAACAACAAACACAAAAGCAACCAACGCAGAACAACAACAAAAAGCAAAACCAAATTCAACAAACAGCAAAAAAACAAAAACAACCACAAAAACACCAAACAACAAGCAAAACATGGACAAACAACAAACACAAAAGCACAAAAGCAGAACAACAACAAAAAAGCAAAACAATCAACACAACAAGGGCAAACAAACAAAGACAACCAAACACAACAAAAACAACAAACAAAACTTGCAAACAAAAAACACAAGCAACAAAGCAGAACAAACAACAAAATGACAAAACAATCAACCACAAAAGCAATACAAAAAAAACAAACACAACACACACAAAAAAACAAACAAAACTTGACAAACAACAAACACAAAAGCAACCAAACGCAGAAAAAAACAACAAGCAAAGACAATCAAAAACAACACAAGCAAAACAACCAAAAAACCAAACTACAACAAAAAAACAAACCAAACATGACAAAACAACAAAAAACAAAAGCAACCAACGGCAGAAAAATACAAAGCAAAACAATAACCAAACAAGCTAAACGAAACAAAAACAACCACAAAACAACCAAACAACAAAACAAAAACATGACAAACAACCAAAAACAAAAGCAACCACGCAGAACAACAACAAAAGCAAACAATCAACCTCAACAAGAAACAACAAAACAACCAAAACACACACAAACAACAAACAATACATGACAAACAACAAACACAAAGCAACCAAAGAAGAACCAAAAAAAAAAGCTAAACATATCCACAAAAAGCAAACAAACAAAACAACACAACACAAACACAAACAACAAACAAAACATGACAACAACAAACACAAAAGCAACCAACGCAGACCAACAACAAAAAGCAAAACAATCAAACAACAAGCAAATAACAAACAAACAACCACAACACAACACAAACAACAACAAAAACATGACAAAACAACAAACACAAAGGAAACCAACGCAGAACAACCAACAAAAAGCAAAAACAATCAACCACAACAAGCAACAAACAAAAACAACACAACAAACACAAAACAAAAAAAAAGACATGAAAAACAAAAAAACAAAAGCATCCCAACGCAGAACAACAACAAAAAGCAAAACAATCAAACAAAAAAGCAAACAAAACAAAAACAACACAACACAAACACAAACAACAAACAAATCATGACAAACAAACAACACAAAAGCAAACAAACGCAGAACAACAACAAAAGAAAAACAATCAACCACAACAAGCAACAAAAAAAACAAACCACAGCACAACACATAACAACAAACAAAACATGACAAAACAACAAAACAAAAGCAACCAGGCAGAACAAAACAAAAAGCAAAACAATCACCACAACCAAGCAAACAACAAAACAACCACAACACAACAAACCAACCCACCAACTTGACAAAACAAACAAACACAAAAGCAACCAACGCAGAACAACAACAAAAAAGCAAACAATCAACCACAACAAGCAAAAAAACAAAACAACCACAACACAAACACAAACAACAAAAACAAAACATGACAAACAACAAACACAAAAGCAACCATCGCAGAACAACAACAAAAAGAAATCAATCAACCACAACAAGCAACAAACAAAACAACCCACAACACAAAACACAAACAAACAAACAAAACCTGCAAACAAACATACAAAAAGCAAACAAAGAGGAACAACATACAAAAAGGGCACAAATCAACCACAACAAAGCAAACAAACAAAACAACACAACACAACAAAAAAACAACAAAACAAAACATGACAAAACAACAAACAAAAGCAAACCAACGCAGAACAACAACAAAAAGGCAAAAACAATCAACCACACAAGCAAACAACAAATCAACAACAAAAACACAAACAACAAACATAAAACATGACAAACAACAAACACAAAAGAACCAATGCAGAACAAAACAAAAGCAAAAACAATCAACACAACAAGCAAACAAAACAAAACAACCACAACAACAACAAAACAACAAAACAAACATGACAAACCAACAAAACACAAAAGCATAACACGCAGAACACCAACAAAAAGCTAAACAAAATCAACCCACAACAAGCAAAACAACAAAAAAAACACAACAACAACACAAACAACAAACAAAAACTTGACAACTTGACACAAACAACAAACACAAAGCAACCAACGCAGAACAACGACAAAAAGCAAAACAATCAACCACAACAAGCAAACAAAAAAAAACAACCACAAAAACAACACAAAAAACACACAAAACATGACAAAACAACACAACACAAAGCAACCAACGCAATAACAACAACAAAAAGCAAAACAATCAACCACAACAAGCAAAAAATACAAATCAAACAAAACACAACAAAAAACAAACAAACAAACATGGACAAACAACAAACACAAAAGCAACCCAACAGAAACAACGACAAAAAGCAAAACAATCAACCATCATGCAAATAAACAAAAACAACCAAACCAAAACAAAACACAACAAACAAAACATGACAAACAACAAACACAAAAGAAACAAAGCAGGAACAACAACAAAAATAATAAGCAAAACAATAACCACAAACAAGCAAACAAACAAAACAACAACAAAACACAACACAAACAACAAACAAAAACATGCAAACAACAAAACACAAAAGAACCAACGCAGAACAACATCAAAATAAAAACAATTCAACCACAACACGCAGACATAACAAAACAACCAAATCACAACAACAAAACAACAAACCAAAAAACAATGACAAAAAACAAACAACAAAATAAAGCAACCAACGCAGACAAACCACAAAAAGCAAAACAATCAACCACAAAAAGCAAACAAACAAAACAAACCAAACACAACACAAACAACAAACAAAACATGACAAACAACAAACACAAAAGCAACCAAAGCAGAACAACAACAAAAAGCAAAACAATCAAACACAACAAGCAAACCAAACAAAACACCACAACACAACAAAACAACAAACAAAACATGACAAACAACAAACACAAAGCAACCAACGCAGAAAAACAACAAAAGCAAAAACAATCAACCACAACAAGCAAACAAACAAAACAACCACAAAAAACAACACAAAACAAAAACTAAAACATGACAAAGAAACATAACACAAAAGCAACCAACGAGAACAACAAACAAAAAGCAAAACAATCAACCACAACAAGCAAAAAAAACAAAACAAACAAAAACAACACATAACAACAAACCAAAACATGACAAACAACAAAAACAAAAACACAAAAGCATCCAACGCAGAACAAAAAACAAAAAGCAAAAACAATCAACCACACAAGCAAACAAACAAAAAAACCACAACCAACACAACAACAAACAAAAATGACTAACACAAACACAAAAGCAACCAACGCAGAACAACAACAAAAAGCAAAACAATCAACCAAACAAGCAAACAACAAAACAACCACAACACAACACAAAAAACAAAACCAAAAACTTGAAAAAAAAACAAACCACAAAAGCAACAACGCAGAACAAAAATCAAAGACAAAAAATCAACACAACAAGGCAAACAAACAAAGCAACCACAACACAAACAAAACAACAAACAAAACATGACAGATCAACAAACACAAAATGCACCAACGCAGAACAACACAAAAAGCAAAACAATCACCACAAACAAGCAAACCAACACAAACAACCACAAAACTCACACAAACAACAAACAAAAAATGACAAACAAACAAACACAAAAGCAACCAACGCAGGAACAACGACAAAAAGCCAAACAATCATAACACAACAAGCAACAAACAAAACAACCACAACACAACACAATACATCCAAACAAATCATGACAAACAACAAACACAAAAAGCAACCAACGCAGAACAACAACAAAAAGCAAATCAATCAACCACACAAGCAAACAACAAAACACCACAACCACAAACACAAAAAACAAAAAAACATGACAAACAAACAACAAAAAAAGCAACCAAAGCAGAACAACAACAAAAAGCAAAAACATCAACCAACAAAAAGCAGACAAACCCAAAAACAACCACAACACAACACAACAACAAAAAAACATGACAAACAACAAACACAAAAGCAACCAAAGCAGAACAACAACAAAAAGCAAAACAATCAACCAACAACAAGCCAAACAAAACAAACAAAACAACCACAACACAACACAAACAACAAACAAAACATGACAAACAACAAACACAAAAGCAACCAACGCAGAACAACAACAAAAAGCAGAACAATCAACCACAACAAGCAAACAAACAAAACAACCACAACACAACACAAACAACAAACAAAACATGACAAACAACAAACACAAAAGCAACCAACGCAGAACAACAACAAAAAGCAAAACAATCAACCACAACAAGCAAACAAACAAAACAACCACAACACAACACAAACAACAAACAAAACATGACAAACAACAAACACAAAAGCAACCAACGCAGAACAACAACAAAAAGCAAAACAATCAACCACAACAAGCAAACAAACAAAACAACCACAACACAACACAAACAACAAACAAAACATGACAAACAACAAACACAAAAGCAACCAACGCAGAACAACAACAAAAAGCAAAACAATCAACCACAACAAGCAAACAAACAAAGCAACCACAACACAACACAAACAACAAACAAAACATGACAAACAACAAACACAAAAGCAACCAACGCAGAACAACAACAAAAAGCAAAACAATCACTCGTCCCATCGACATCGGCAGCTTCGGGTCCATGGCACGCTGCGCGAGCTCTGGGGACTGGAAGCTCACAAAGGCCTCTCTGTGGGACTCGAGACTCGACTCGACTCGGGCGAAGCGACCGGTTCGGGTCGGCTCGGATCCTTGAGGGGCGCGTTGGCGAAACAAAGAAACCTCCGGAAACGCGCAACGCGAACCAAAAACCTCCAAAAACCGAGTCCCAAAAAGGATGTCGTTGCTTGTTTTTTGCTGGTGCGAGAGTCCGGGTTTGGGGATGAACCGTTTGGGGGTTTCCTGGAAAGGACACCAAATCAGAGATGGTTTTTGGAAGTCATTCCATTTCTCATTCCTGCCAAGGCAAGAGCCACGTTGCTTCCTTAGCTTGGTGTCCCAAGCTCTCAAAGGCTTCCGGCTTCCTTGGTGTCCCAAGCGAGGCTGTTCAAAGGCGGTCGCCTTTTGCTTCCCTGGTGCGAAAGGGGCGATTTGTTTTATGTTGTTTATTTATTTATGTATTATTTATTTTTACTTTTGTTCGAAGCATTGGGATAGGCGTCTCCATGCTCCGGCTGACTCGGGGGTTGCTGCCTCCCCAGTGGGTCGGCCATCTGGCTTCTTGATGAAGAGAATGTCCGGCCTGAGCTTTGGGCGCTGAGCAGCCGGCCCAAAGATTTTCTATGCCCGAAGCTTTCCTCGGTTGCAAAATCTGCTCCCCTGCTAAAAGCGAGTAACTTTTAGTGGTTTAATACGGAAAACTCACTAGTTGGCAAAAAGTTAAAGTCCTAACATCCAAGCAAAATGCACCAAAGTTTCTTTGGGGGTCGCCTCTCTTCTCCGGAGTCCCTGGGAATTTTGGCTCTTCAAATGCAGCATCACTCGATGGCTGTTTTGATGCATCCCTAAGCACCAAGGGCAACGGAGGCACTTTGCGAGAAATCACTTGCGAGTGTTTGTTGAGCCTCGGTACCAAAGGAAAACTATCATTCTGGAGTCTCTGCTTTTTGCACACACCCAATTCAAGCCTTTGCCACTCACCTCTTGGGAAGATCCTTGCACCCACGGCAAACAAAACTCGCGTTTCATGTCTTCCTTAAGGCCTTGGCCGCGGATTCATTTGATATGCCAGGACTGCAACCCAGCTCCAGACTTGTTTTTAGGGACCCATGGTTTGAGTTCCCCATGCAACCCCCGCCTTCAGGCGCCTTCTACCTATGTCTGGTTGCCCAGCTACCCATTTGGGTTGCTTCGCGAAGCTTGGCATTCCAAGAAATTCTCCAGGCTTCCTGAGTATATCCAAAACTGAATGGTTCCTTGCTGGTGCTCAGTAGGGAATGACCTTCCGTGTGTTGTTTGGGGACTCCCGTGCAGGAAACCACAGGAAATGGATGGTGTTTTTGGGGGTCATGCTAAATCAGGGTGCGGGGAAGCAACCGAAAGGGGATTCCCGAACAACGGAAACCACAGGAAATGGATGGTTTTTCTCAGGGGCACTCCAAGCATCCTCATTCCCCGCCTATCGAACCCGCAACACTTCAACTGGCCCATGTTTTCACAGAAATCTGACAGACAAATCTGAGAACCAGCGGAACCCATCTATTTCCCACCAGACCAACCAGTGGAACCCATTCTCTCAGAGACCAAATCCATTGCCGAGGAACTCCTGGACGCTGAACTCCGCCAGGAAGGCCAGCACATCGGGCACGCCGCCCTGGAAAGGAACCTTCGGACCAGGCGGATTTCAGAAGCAGGGATCCGGATGCATTATACACCTGAACATTGCCTTGTACATGGCGGTGTCCCTTTACTTTGGTGGAAAAAGCCATGTTCAAATGTGCAAAATGTATCTATTAAGGAGCCCTGTTTCAGGTGGACGGCTCCTGACTTCTTTTGGAGACGCCCGGTGGCTGGCTCGTCTTTTTTTCGGGTTGGACCCTAGAGATGGTTGGCTTCCTTTTGTGTTCTCCTTACACCAAAGGAAAAAAGGGGTCCCCCCCCAAACAACAAAAAGGACACACCCTGGCAACGTGTGGAGCCTGTATCACTCACTGCTCAAGGCCGGCACCCCCCGGAGCCGCAGCACGCGGCTGTCTTTGCCTGGATGCCCCGTGGCGCAATGTCACCTTATGGATTTTCCCTTGGGGTAGGTACAACGGGGGTACCTTCAGGTACCTTCGGGGGCCTTGGGGAACCACCCGCTTCGACCCCTCTTGGAGATTCCCGAATCACTCAAAATCACCCAAGATCAGTGATACCAAAGCCAGCATTTCCATTTAAGTGGGATTCCCATCCCCATGTCTACCTTGTCAGGGAATTCTCTTGGTGTCGCAGAAAGTGGTCCTAGGACCCTATTTCTCGCAACCCTTGATGTCCCATCCTGCGCTCCAGTGGAACCCACCCTTCCTGCACATTGGCAAAGTCCAAGTGACATGCTACAAACAGTACTGCCAGCCTCAGGCTTGACCATTTCTTGGGACCCCCAAGACACTTATACTACACACCAGAAGCAAATGATACCACCAACAGAAGCAGTCCCATGTTCAACCTACACCCGGAGGTCGAAACTCAAAACCCGAAATGACAACCTTTGGACATCTCTGCTTTAGGGTACCCCTTTCTAGGTTGGTTTAGAGGGAAGCCAAAAGGCAAACCGAAGGCTTGTTTGTTTGCTTGTTTGTTTGTTTGTTTCTTTCTTTGTTTGTTTGTTTGTTTGTTTGCGATTATTTTTTTGGCGAGGGGGTCCCCTAAAAAAAGACACACCCTCAGAGCCCTGCATTGTTCAGTGTCACCCCAGGGCATCTGGTGAGGACTTGCCGTTGCTAGTTGCCTGCAGCTCGAAGCAGAGGAGTCGCTAGGATTGGCCCTCAGTGACTAGCAATCAGCTTCACCAGTACAGGGCACCTGTCTTGGCGGCGGCACGCATTTACCATGCCAAGTCTCAAATGGCCATGGTGAAAATCCCGTACCCCCAGTGAACATCCCAATCCCCACTAAAATAGGTTCTACAATGGGGGGTGCACCTACCCCAAAATGGTACCATTGGTTTTGACCCACAGCCAAATGGACTCTGCGGGGAAAACACAACACGACTCTTTTGTCTGGCATGAGTTGAGCCCAATCTCGGCCAGGTTGCAAATGAACATCGCCACCATGTCCATGTCTTGGCCACTTCTGTAGGCCTGCTGGGCTGTCCGTAAGCCCTTTCTGGCAAGGCGGCAAGCCCTTGAACAGGGGTCACTGAGTTTCCCTTCAAAAGTTGCAACTTAGTGGTAGGTTCCAATAAAATTGCCACTTTTGGAGGTCCAGAACAGGGCAATAAGCATGGCACGGGTTTGGAGATTCCAGGAGGAACATCACGGCACGCACCATGACTGCCATGACTGTCAGTTCCAAGGTGTTACCAAGGTGCTGAGATCAAAACGGAAACAGTCAATGCTGGGCAACACTTCTCAGACTACCTAACTTTTAGGATTGGTCGGATTTCGATGGTGGGTTGCTCTTCCCCCTGAGCAGTAGGTCTTGTCCTTTCGGTCCTCCTTGCGATCTGTCATCTCTGAAGAAGTGACACCTACAGACTCCAAAAGGTTCGTTTGGGGCGATTTGGTCACACTTAATATCAGCCACGCTTGCACGGGGAACCTTGTCTCCACTTCCCCCCTTCGCTGGCCTGCGTAAAGGCTTGCCTCAGGACGCGTGCATCCACTCAACCGTTTCAGCATGTGGGTGGCTCGTCTTTGAGGTTGACCCCCCCCCAAAAAAAAAGAGTGTAGGTTGTCCTTTTGCTTCCCCTTTGAAGGCCAAAACAAAGCATACCAACTCAAAAAACAAAACCGCACCAATGGTATTTGCTTGGCAACAACAAACTTGCAACATGTGAAGCCAGCAGGGCAAGTCCACAATGCCGGAAACAGCCAAGAAGGGCGAACAAGGGCCAGCATTCATTCCAAACTGATGGCTCTCTCTCTCTCTCCCTCTCTCTCTCCACACACAAACACGTGCACACCCTGACCCTTTTCAGGCACCACTTGTTGGTTTTTGGAGCCATTGGAGTACACACGTTTTGGCGATGACCATCTTCGGCACTGGCGCGCAAGCGCCTCTGCCGGTGCTCAGCCCGGCACAGTGTCTCACAGGTGTGCCGGGAGGGGTCTCGGTTGCCATTGCGCAGCGCGTCGCAGAACCTCTCCCACCTCGGGGCCAAACCGTGGCGGTGGTGGTGGTGGTGGCGGCGGCGGCGGTGGTGGTGGTGGCGGTGGGGAGTCGGAGAGCAAAAGCATGAAAAGGGGAAAAAGGCGAAAAAGTAGAATCGGAGGAGGAGCAGGATGCTCAATGTTCTCACAGAAAGAGAGAGAGAGAGAGAGAGAGAGTACATTGACTTTGGCGGAAGCAGGAGTCAAGGAACACTAGTGGTTCTTGGCATCCGCAGCATCACCCAGCATAGGTGTCAGAAGCAGACAACATCAGAAGCATAACAAGGGTACCAAACCAGGGTTCAGGACACAAGCCAATTTCTGGCAAACGTTGCTACTTAACGTGCCTCTGGCAAAGGGGCCATTCTGGCCACCACATCATCTCCCAGATCACTGGCTGTGATCGTGACAAACAAGTACAGGTGGCCACTATCCGCTTGGTGCCGAAGATAGATGTGGACCTCACTAGACAGATGAGCTCCACCAGGTTGGCCAAAATTGCGAGTGATCAAATGCTCCGAGCTCAACTTATCACGTCAGATTGAAAACAAACAGATCATCAAGTGCTATCTTATTTCCAACAATCGTGGAAGTGGACAGGTGGCTTCCCCAAAAGGCAACTAGTCTTCCCAAACCCTTCTGTCAGCTTCTGTGATTGTTGGAGGGAGGGTAGATACAATCAGGACAAATCTCCAACTCCGGACGCAAGCCTCAGACCGCCAGCCAAAGCCCAACGACCCTGTAAAGGAACGACTTCTGCACCCGTGTCTGCTGCCAAAGTCGTGCGAGAAAAAAAGCACCAGCCTTGCAGGGTTGCTCCCAATGTAAAAAAAAAAACGCTGGTTGAATTGGCCCGTTTCCCCCTAGCGAACCACCCAAATCGAGGCATGGCTACCAAAACGGCAGACACAGGTGGATTCCCTTCAAGCCAATAGGGGGTCAACCTTGTTCTGACACATCTCCAAATGTGGATGGACAAAATCCTGCACCAGGTGGGATGAATAAAACTCCAGAAGAACTGGCATAAGCCTTGTAGCATCTGGTGCGAACTAAATTTTGTCCATCCTTTGTATCATTGCTCCAAACAAACTCGGCGCTTGAGGCTCCTCGCTTTGCACGTCCTTCCTCTGAGGAGCGCTGGACGTGCTTCACCTTCGGCAAATGTACAGTGAGCTTGGTGGTCGCTTCCGTTCCCCCGACTCGACTCATTTGATGTGTCGTTATATCCTGGAGCTTCCATTTGATCTTAAACCCGAAGCACTTCTTGTTCTCTTGCGGCATGTCTGAACCGTGCACCTGGCAACTGGCAAACATGATTGGGGGACTCCCTTACGTTGATAAAATGTCAATATTTGCACCAAAACAATACTTATCCCTCTTGCGCAAGCACCAACACCTTAGTCGTGCAAAAGTCAAAACAAGGCTTTACAGAATCGCAACCAACACTCATGGATTATGTTCCCGATGTTCGTGACAAGCGTAATATGTGGAATATGACGGTTGGTCAACATTGAGGCTGTTCGTTGGTTGCTTCCAGAAAATGCAAAAAATGGACCAACCTTTGCCTTTTGAAAAAAGCCATGTTAGCCACGCTTTGGCCCCACGAATCTTTCCTTATAGCACTGCCGTTGGCACCAGCACATGCGCCTTCTGGCATCCGCATGGAAGATTCGCCGGGTGGGAACCAGGGAACAATACTTCAGTCGGCTAGAAAGTGTTGCAAACTGGCCATGGGTCAACACCCCGTACTCCCAGTGAACATCCCAATCCCCACTCAAATAGACTAGCATGGGTGGTGCACCTACCCCAAAATGGGATCCTATTGGTTTTGACCCACAGCCAACTCTTTCTGTCCATCCAGCTTTGAGGGGGCTCCATCAGACTTCGTTTCTTTTCGTGGTTCGTTTTTTGTTGTATCGGCGAAACCAGACGCCGCCCGCCTCCGCCACCAGCGCTTCCTTGCCCGTGCCACCGTCGTTGCCTCCAGTCGGCCCTGACGAGGCGAAGTGGTGTTTGGTTTTAGGGTGCCCTTTTAATAGGTGTTATATATTTTGGGTACCTGTTCAATAGGTTTTATATATTTTGGGTATCATTTTAATAGGTTTTGCATATACCCTTTTAATAGGTGTTGTATGTCTTGATCTCAGAGTTTGTGGTTGTTTTCAGGGATTCTGGCGCATGTCTGTTTTCAAGCTGATTTCAAGGGATTTTATTGCATTGTCAGACGGGTCCCAGCCAATCGCTTCCCCCCGGATTGATGGTTCTTGACGTGGCCTTGGTGGAATTCGGGCAGCCGAAGGCTGAAAAGAAGCACCGTTTCACCGCTCTGGGCGTCACAAAGAACTCAGCTTTCTGAAGCAAGGTCATCTCCGGGAAATCAGCCTTCACTTGCCAACTGGCGTGTGTCGGGGGCTGCCTTGTTTTTTGGAGTTGGTACGCTTTTGCAGGTGTAAAGAGAAGCCAAAAGGGGGTTCCATGCAGCCCCTAAAAACGGACACACCGTGAAGACAGGTTCGGGCTTTCTCCAGCCGGCGACTCCTCAGAATTGGCCAAAGGTGCCCTTCTTGAAAGGCTTCTCTCTTTGGGCAAAGCGCGAGCCAACATATGGGTGTGTGTCTGTGTGTGTGTGTGCGAGTGTTCTAGAGGTACCCTTTGTGGCTGTGAAAGGGAAAACAAACAACCACATTGTGTGCTTTGATTGTTTTTGTTTTCTTTCCAGGGGGGGGCTCTTTTGACACAGACCCATATCATTGCAAGCTATGCAACCAGCTGAAAGCGACCAACCTGGGAAGCTGGAAACCAACACCCGACCTGGCTCCTCGCCAAGGACGTTCTCACTGTGCAACTCACTGGTCAGCAAAAAGTACAATCTTGCGGTTGCTTCCCGCAACTGCAACAGGAGTAAACCCTTAAACCATCGAAACGTGTGACCAACAGTACAGTGTAAACAGAGCAGTTGATCCATGCGCGGTCGCCAATTCAAGATCAGCCACTGCAAGTAGCAACAAAGAAGCATGCCAGAGAGTTCGAGTGATTTGTGTGTTTTGACCCTGTGGGATCAACAGTTTCACAGCTTTAGGCAGAAGTTTGACTGAAACCGGCGCAAATCTGCGGAAAGGTCTCGCAAGGAAGGGTTCCTGGTATTCACTTGAAAGTGCCACAGAAATCTCGCTGATTGGTCATTCTACAGGCCAACTCCAGTTTAGTTTTTGCGGGGCGGCCACATCCACAACGGTTGAAACCGTCCAGTTCTTTTGAGTTCGATGTGTCACAAGGAAAACCTCTTCCCCTCCAGTTCGGCGCAGAAACATCCCAGTAGAATGGTGAATCGCAAGCGATGCATCCCTAGTGGCACTGAAGCAAATTGCGCAGGGCCTGGACGAAGGTAGGCATCATGGTAGACCTGAAGGTCAACAAAGAGGCAAGTCTGGCTGTCAGAACTACGGTTGGTGATGCAATCGCAATCAAGTTCACTTCTCTGACACAAACATCACAAATTGGCTTTCCTCCATTTTCTTAGGTCCCCTGAAAAAACAACGCTTCCACTTCTGACGGATTCCCTTGAAGCAGGAAATAACGCATATTATTAAGCAAATGGAAACTTTCGCCAGCCGTGTACGCTTGCAACCATGCCAAATAGCTCCAAGGCGGACATGCACTGGCTCAATTCTTGTCCTTGAGCCAAAACAAAAACAGCATTTTGCCCGAGCAAAATATACGCCACCAGCAAGAACATCAGGTTGAATC